CAGATGACCCCTGCCTAGAGTCATTATTTCATTAGGGGCTACTAAATGGTGATTTTCTAATTCTGTTTTTCCTTCTGCATTGATTAGCTAGAATCCTGTTATAACGAATGTTTCTTATCAACTTTTTTATTACTCCAGAATAAAACTCATAAAGACAAAATAAATGCCAGCTTCTTTACCTTCATCAGTGTTCAGAAGAATGAGTTAGTACTCCTAATAATCTTCAGTGTGGATAACTGCTTTTTTTCTAATCATCACAACTCCACAAGAGCAGAGAAAACACACACACGTGCACTGTGTTTCAATTCATGGCTTCTGATCTTCGTGATGTTCAAGTTTCCCTTTTGTACAATAAGAGCCCCTTCAAGTTGTCTCACCCAAATTTTGAACATGTCACCAGAGGGCTTTCTTAGCTTCCATCCCTTCTGATGTAACACAATTTATCTTGGATTCACCTCCCCAGAATTAGAATAAAACACTTCTTCAAAGATCACCGCTCCATTTAGCGGGAAATGATTGAGAAGCCATCATCTGGGCACTAAAGATGTTCAATGCTACTACCCTGTCATGACTTGTCTTTATACTACAAAAGAACAGGCAAGTATTTACGACATCTAAGACAGAGCGAAACGGAATTCACAAGCGTATATGGCTATTTGTCTTCTAATTTTAATACTGTTTCAGCTTTACTGTCTTTGTTTTCATTAAAACTTTTAGTTTCTAATGACATGAATAGAGGTACGCTTTATCTTACTACATAAATATGTGTGTGGATTTTAAAATAACAATACTGATTTTTCTGAATGTAGCTTAATTTTTTATCAGACTTTGCCCATTAGGGATGTATAATCTCAATGCTGTCCTTTTGAAGTCACTTGAATTAATATGTTCAATACTTGGTTACATATTTGAAAACCAGATTAATCTGCTTTCAACAGTTAGCATTTTTATGCTTTATTATTTAATTTCTAATTTCTAATTATGTAAAACATTTCAATGGTTCCAAGGTCAAAATCATGGGTTGTAATGATATGGGGGAAGTCGATGGGGGTAAGGCAAGGACTTGGGGAGCAGGGGGGAGGCAAATATCAGAGCCTACAGAACTGTATCATGGAATAATAAGCCAAAGAGACAAAAAAATTTTTAGTTACATTTGGAGGAAGCTTATTCCCATCTTTCTTTTCTGTCCTCTGTTCTCCTCTCTACTCCCTTTAATGATAAACCATTTCAAATTGCTTCTAAGTTTCTTTCCATTGTTTGTCATAAACTTTATATATGATATATGTAAGACATCTTTCTGAATATTTATTTACACAGTCAGAATGCAGAGTTATAGGGAGAGTGAGAGACAGAAAGAGGGATCTTCCATCTGTGGGTTCAACCCCACTACTACCCCAAATGGGTATAATAGCTTTGGGATGGGCAGAAGCCATGAGCCAGGAATGCCCTACTGGTCTCCCACGTGGGTGGCAGGGCTTTAACTACACAACCACCTTTCACTAGCTTCTCAGGAGCATTAACAGAAAGTTGGATTGGAAGCAAAGCAGGAAGGACTCACACTCCAATACAAAATGCTAGTATTACACAAGCACCTGCTTAGCCCTCTGTGTCTCAACACCAGCCCTTTGATATATATATACACAAAATAAATAAAATATATATAAACAAACATGCCCACATTCCTTGCATAAAATGTGAAACCCACACATATTTAAATAGTCCTGTAAATGAATCTACTTGCTTTCGACAACTTAAATTTCTAGTTCATATGATTTAAGATTGTCAAATAACACTACATAATTCTACATATATTTCCTAACAGATTCTAAAAATGGGACCTATAGCGTTCTGATTCCTATCCACAATTTACTCACTAACTTGCTTTAGAGACAGGCTCTGCATTGATACTTTCACTGCATACAAGAAAGTGATTTTGGATACAGTAGCCGTAATCATGCAAGAAAGTTCTTTGCTACCTGAACACACTATACTAGTTTCCCCATTTATTGAAAACGACCACTTCCTCTTCTTTAGACAACTGCAGAAATCTTGGAAGTCATATAAGGAAACTGTGATTGACTTACAAGGTAAAGTAAATAGCTCTCTCTACTAAAGATTTTTTTAAAGATTTTTTTTTATGTATTTGAAAGTCAGAATGAGGGAGATACAGGTCTTCCATCCATTAGCTCATTACCAAGATTGCTTTAACAATCAGGGCTGGGCTAGGCTGAAGCCATGAGCTTCACCCAGATCTCTAACATGCGTGCAGAGGCCTCAACACTTGGGTCATCCTTTGCCACTTTTCCCAAGCCATTAGCAAGGGTCTGGGTTGGAGATGGAGCAGGTGGGACATGAATCAATACCCATATGGGGGAATCTGGCAATCCTATGTAGCAGCCTTAGCCACTATGCCATATCAGACCCCTTATTAAATATTGTTCAAATCAACATTTTGAATACTATAATTCCCAAAATACAAGATAGCAAACATATCTACTATCTATATATCTGTCTGTCTGTTCAAAAGAAAAAAAAAAAGGAGAAACAGAAAGAGACACAGAGCTTCCATCCACTGGTTCACCCCCTGAGTAGCTGTAACAGCCAAGCCCTGGGCTAGGCAGAAGCCAGGAGACATGGAGACATGAACTCCACGCTGGGCGGCAGGGACCCAAGTACTTAAGCCACCAACTTCTGCTCTCCCAGGCACATTAGCAGGGAGCTGTTTTGAAAGCAGAACAGGCAGCACTCAAACCACTTCAACAAGCATATATTGGGTGCTGTGTGGCAAGCAGACTTAACCAGCTGAGCCCAGCATGAGCCTCAAACTTCTAAAGTTTTAAGACTGAATGCCCATGTTTTTCCACAAAGCTGTGCTGATACTTCTTTCCAACAAAAATGTCCTCCTCCTTGACAACTGTCAGCCAACAACTAATTGCCAAGATTCAGCTCAAGTAGCTCTTCTTTGTGGCAAACCTAATTCTCTCCTGCTTGAAATTTTAATAAAATCTTGTAGCAGTAACCCACTCCAAATGAAAGGTTTAGATGAAACATGCAAAATGAAATGCATTAAGTCTAACTGTTGCTGTCAATTGTTCCAGTTGTTTTCAAAAGAAAAGGGAAAAAAGAAAAAACATCCTTTAATCAACAAATCTGATGTGCAGTTTTAAATGTAAATCCATTTCTAAAGGGAATATGCTGGCATTAAATACGTGGCTGGTTGTCATTCTGCAGTACTATTTTTTTTATTGGCATTCATCATTATTTTCTCAGCATCTACCATTAGCACAGGGTAAATAATTTACTCATTTCTCAAGTAAACAAGATTTAACCACAGGTTGTATAATCAGTATAAAACATATAACTAAATATTTTTTCCCACAACAGAATACTAATAGTAGTATATTGAATCCAAAGCCAACTTTGTTAGAAACAACACCTAAAAACTTTCATGGATGAACCACTTCATTTAAAACTTCAGCAAATTGGGGTCAGCACTACAGTACAGTGAATTGAGCAACCACCTACAATGGCAATGTCCCATGAGTTCACAAGCCTCAACAGCTCCACTTTGGATCCACCTCCCTGCTAGTGCATCTGGGAACGCAGTAGATGATATTTCAAGTGTTTGGGCCCCTGACATTCATGTGGGAGACCCAGATGGAGCTCCAGAATCCTGGTTTCAGCCTGGCCCAAACCCCAAAATGGGGGTAGTGGAGAGTAACCAGCAGACAGAAGATGTCTCTCTTTTTCCCTGTGACCTGTGACCCACCTCTCACTCTACATTTCAAGCAAATAAGTAAAAAAAAAAAAAAAAAGATTTAAGAGATTCATCCAACAACTCTAAGCTGCAATGCACAAACTGAAAAGAGGAACCTGAAACAAATATCGTCCACTCCACATCATCTTTAAAGTCACTTCAACTCTACTTTTAATAGCACAGTGACATATGTCATGAAGCAGGGAGACAAAATTTTCAGTTCACCCTTTTTTCTCCTTGCTACACTTTCAAGTTTTTTCTCTTCTTCCATTCCTATTATATATTCAGCATTGGCTATGCCCAAAGCATTTTATGGGGCTCAGCAGACACAACGGCCTCAACAGATACCAGTCAAATGCAAGCGGAGAAGAATCCAACTCCAGCTTTGATGCTGTTTAGAGGGTGCAGCACAGACAATATCCATGCTTTTCCTTCCTTTCACTTCATTCCTCAAAGCCTAAAATACAGTAGAGTCTTGTACTTCACCTTATTGCTGTAGGTGACTATCTGAAAAATGATTATTACTCTTTTCTGACTCAGGTGCTCAAGGTGACTGGTGATTTTATACTTTACTTCACATTTTCCTAACCCTGTATAGCCACCCAGTCTATGGTACTTGGTTACAACGAACCCAACAGACCACGACAGGAACTGGGACTGAGAAGTGTGAATGTCACACTAATGAACACCTAAAACAATTATTACAACATGTAAGGTAAAGCATCAAAAAACCTATCTTGACCATAAAGTCCTTTAAAAAGTAATTCATATGGCTGAAAGTACTCTCCACACCTCAGATATATGACAGACACAGGAATCTGGTGGAAATTTCCTTCCAGAAACTCTGCCCTTTATTCAGTATTGGATGCTCTTGCTTGAAAACATTCTTGGGAATCTTATTGAAGCTTTGCATACAATCTCACACTGTTTTTCTGAAAGATCCACCTGCCTCCAGATGAAGTTACTGAGAGGCTGGCTGTTCCCTACAGCAGAAAGCCAACGGAGGACACTCAGCCCCAGCACACCACCAGAGGCTTTTCCATGGCCTAATGAGAAGCCTGACCTTTTCCTTCCCAGCTCCTTAGGCCAACAGACACTTTGTTTAAGTAATTAAATTTTAAGTGACATCTAATACATATAACTTGTCCCCCCAAAACATCTCCCTGTGTATCTGTTCCCCAGTTGACTTCAGTGAAAGTCTAAGCAAGGATGTCAGCCAAGTTGTCACCGATGCCCCTCCTACCTCCTGCGCGTGCTCTCGGTAGACCTGCAGGGGCCCTGCTGCTTTGGCCGTGTCCCAGAGCTGCAGCGAGCCGTCGCCACTGCACGTGACAAGGACGTGTTCGTTGTTCTCACTCCAGGTCACGTCAAACAAACCATCATTCCAGTCAAAACTGCAGCAGGAAGATTGAAAACAAAATGAAAAGATTAACACAGGCAGCTAATCAGGAAAAATCACAACTTCACAGATCTCAGTTGGGTGTTTTTTTCTTCTTAGTTTAACAAGCACTTTGAACATACATGAGCCTAGATGATGTTTACAAAGATGAGAAGTAAAGAGAGGAGAGGTGGTACAAAAGTTCAGAAAGCTAAAAGGACTAATCCCAGACCAAACTGGCAGGAAACCACTGAGCTGGGTTACAAGGGGTCTCCTGGGCATAAAGACAGAACTCCACCACGAGGCCAAACGCTGTCAGCTGGGAGCTCTCCATCTCCTGTGACTCACAGGATGGGTCAACAAGCACTTCAAAATGCTCATTTACACCGGCAACTTCAACCTTTCTCCGCCTGCCTTCACCTGAGCTATAGAAGGCTTGCTACCTCAATCTCTCACCCTGAGCTATGAATAGCTCTGAGCAGGGAGTTATTTTCTGACAGAAACTCTTTTCTTTTTTTCTGACTAGCCCTGCCGGAAGTGTTAATGAGTCCAACAGTCACACAGGGAAGAAAAGAAATGAGGTGCTGGGTAATCTACAAAAGGGGTAATTCGCTCCTCACCTGACTGAAGCTGTATTACAGCAGGAGGACAGGTTAGGACAGGCCAAGTCACAGAATACACTAACTGGTGCACGTGTCTTCTTAAAACTGTGATGAATTAGAAACGAAAGTCTATGACACGAACTTTAGAAGAAAACTGACTTGACCTTCAGTTCATGAAATTAAGTCCTATACTACAGAAATACCAAAGCTCCTTGCTCCCGTAGATTAAAAGACTGGTCTAAAAGCTTCACCACTAGGCAGGCATTTGGCCAGGAAGTTTGAAGATACCATGTCCCGTCCCCAAGGGCCTGCCTGCGGTTCCTGACTAGTGTCCAACTCTTCTGGTGACGGAAGGAGTAGCTGTGTCCCAGCCACCCATGTGACTGGGTTTCCTGCTCTTGGCTTGGGCTTCTGGCTCAAACTATCCAGGGCATTTAGGGAGTGAACCGGTAGGTGGGAGCTTGCTCTGTCACTCTGTCTCTCTCTTTACCTCTTGGATAATGTTTTAAAAGATTGAAAGCTCATGCTATGAAGGATTTCATAACAACAGAGACCCTGCATGTTTATAATTGGAGCCACTTTACCTTCGAAAAACCCTAAGCTCAGATTCGTTCTGATCCAACACAAGTAAGGTTCCACATCCTAAAAAGGAAAAAAAAAAAAATCAAAGTTATGTCACCAAACCTGCCAAAGAAACACAGAAGGTCAAGGTGTATCCAGAACTAAGTACCACACTGGTCATTATCCTTACCAACCTCCCCCTGACCTGAATCCAGACATGGCCCACAGGGCAAACACTGCAGTGCCCACACCCTCTAAGGCACGGAGTCTGACACACACACCTGCCAAGCTGGCACTGTCGGCTCCATTCACAGCTGAGAATCCTGCAGCTAAAAGACCTCGCCAACAGTGCTCCTCCACTAAACACCCTGCCTGGCCTAGGAATCTACAGGGAGCTTTTCAAACAACATGCGATTGTGAAAATATGCCCAGGCTTAGTGACCAAGTGCTGAAAACAGCTGTCAGTATTGCCTACCCACCTAGAATGAATACTTTTACTCAAGAAAAAAAAATACTCCTCTACTGAAGAGAGTACATTTTAATAGCAACTGCTTTTAAGAGGTTTTTGCAGAAGATTTAAGGTCGTATTCCACGCTCACAGGGATTCAGCCTAACTACCTGTGGGCAAGTGGGAGTGGAGTCTGGTTACTACATACTCAGGAGGAATGCACCTAGCTGGTGGCGCTGCCAAGGTAAGCCCGCGGCACATGTACCACTAATTCTGAAAATACAAGCAGGTGGGCATGTCTTCCCTTAGGAGTTGGAGAAATCACTTTTTTTTTCCCTGCTGTGGGATCAATTAGAAAACAAAACAGAAAAAAGCAGAGCATGAGCATGTGGACATGAAATAAAAGACAATAAAATTGGGGATGAACACACAACTGTCCACCTAGACCACGGTCTGAGATGAGGAACTAAGGAACGAATGTTTGTGCTCCAGGCCAACCAATCCAAGGCGAGCACGCACTTAAACATCCCGCGCAGGCAGAGACGTGGGACTCGCATGCAAGCGGTGGGAACACGCGGGCTGACTCTGCCAGCACCGAGTCAGCCCGCACATCTCGTGAGGCTCAGCCCACGGCCTGTGAGGGGTGTGCGCGAGGAGGCGGGCGCTCTCCAGGAACCAGGCAGGGACAGCCGGAGCGCCCGCCGGCCGACGCGGACCGCGCTCGGCTCCCCCTGGAGTCGGCGCCCGGCAGCGTCCGCGCGTGGGAGGCGGTGCCGCGGCTCGCCAGGCCCCCACCCCGCCCGGCCTCACCCGCGATGCCGTAGTGCTGCGCCGTGGCACAGGCCAGGCGGCCCGGCAGGTACGGGGAGAACTCGGCCGCATAGCCGTGGCGGCCCGGCACCCGCAGCGCCCGCGCCGCTCCGCCGTGCGCCGCGCTCATCCCGCCTCGCCCCGGCCGTCTCGGAAACACTTCCGAGTCGGAGGCAGAGAGACGATCGCGGCTCTCCCGGAGAAGTTAAAGAGAGGCCCGGTAAGACCGGGCGGAAGTGAGCACGCCGGTTCCGATTGGTCCACAAGGAAAGGGCGGTGATGCTGGGGAAGACCATTTTTGTTGTGGGCAAAGCCAAACTTTGTCCTTTGACGGGACAAAGCTGTTGAGAAGGTCTAAAAGTTGGTGTGCTTGCGTTACTTTGCATGTGGCATCTCTTGGGAGCCGTGTTGCCCAGGGTGACTTGAAGCAATGCAGAATGGAAAACGTAACAGGAAAACACCACAAGCAACAGACTTTAAAAAGCTTCTCAGCAAATATAAGTATATTGTGTGGCGGTAACTGTTTAGAGCTAATTATGGTAAACCAAGGCTTACTAATTCGTGCACTGAAACATTTGCCAAGAATATGCAGTGTGCACACAGACCATATAATTTGTCTGCCAGACTAGACACTTTTGAGAGTGAAAGAGATATAGTTAATAATTAAGCGAAACGAACAGGCATACACCAACTCTTGCAATCATCTTAATTATATACCAAACACGGCTAGGCTTTGGGATTCAAAAAGCTAAGATAGGATCTCTAGCCTGAAGAGATGAGTGTCTGGTAAGGAGAAAACAGGCAGGCTGTGAACCCATATCCAAATACTGTGGGTGCTGTGAGAAACACACAGGACAGTGTAAAAATGAGTGAGTTTCCATGAAGCAGAAAAGATGAGGTCCTTGCAGGATGAGAGGGTCATATGAACAAGTTAGGAGCCCTGACCAGTGAGGATGGCGGCTGCTGGGGCTCAGCCTGGACTCCTGCAAGGGCTTTAGTGAGGAAATTGTGAATGGAGAAAATGTATGGAAAATGCAGTGCAGAAAAATGAAGCCCACTGCAATGCACTAAATTTAACATCTATGCATAGATTTTCTTTATAGACATTTCCATATTTTTTGAGGACCCCTGCTGCCATAACTGGAGCATACGTCTTATATGTTATGCGAAAGGAGTTGGATTTCTAGTGTTGTTTAAACTGCAGAATTATAGTTGTGTAATGCAAGATACTAACTAGATGAGTAAACATTCACTTTTAAAATACATTTTGGAGGGGGTGCCTAGCACTGTGGCCCAGCATGTTAAGCCATTCCTTGTGGGTCCAGCATCTCATGTTGGGTTCCAGTTAACATCCTGGCTGTTCCACTTCCAATCCAGCTTCTAGCTAATGAGCCTTGAGAGTGGCAGGTGACAGCCCAAGTATTTACGCCCTTGTCACCATGTAAGAAACCTGAATGGAGTTTGTGGCTCCTGGCTTCAGCCTGGCCCAGAGCCTCCTCTTGAAACTGAGGAGTAAACCAGCAAATCGGAGATCCCTCTTGGTCATTCTGCCTTTCAAATAAATACATCTTTAATTTTAAAAGTAATCTTTTGGCAACCCTAATCTGAAGGCTGGAGATTGATGATGAGACCAGTTAAAAAACTTACACACTACTCAGGAAAGGTTATTATCAGCCCACATGAAGCACCAGGATGGCTTCTGAGAAACATGGAATATGGTGCAAGTGTCTGGACTCCTGCTGCCCACATGGGACACCTGGACAATGCTCCTAAATCCTGGCTTTGGTCTGCCCACTGCTGGCTGGCTGTTGCAATCGTCCAGCGAGTGAACCAGCAGATAGAAGTTACCTCCCTGCCCCCCACTCCGTGTAATTCTGACTTCCAAATAAACAAAGAAGAATTATGGTAATGGAAGTAGACAGTAAAGTTGCAGTAGATTATGGAAATGGGAATAGAGAGGCAGGGTCAGATGGGGCTTAAAGTGACCCATGTTACTCATGGTCTCAATGGTTTGGTCTTAGAGTGTCAATCTCCAAACTGTAAACTGATGGCAGTCTTCTTCCTTTCTAAGTAGCTTCTCTCAACCATTTTAGTCAGTGACTAAAGGCAGACTAATAAAATGTTTCCACCCTCAGCCTCAAGCCACATGTGCCCCACATTCCTTCCTTTGTCTTTGAACCTGAGATTGAATCAGTGTGTGATGGGGTACAGGTAACTCAACATGGTGCAATGGGGCATAGGTGACTAAAGTCACAGCTAGCCTGATCACAGACTTGGGGTGCGGGGAGTGTGCCTCATTATAGTTCATGAGACACTAGAATCTCTGAACACATGGCTCTGTCTCTTTCAGATGTCAGCCAAATAATGCTGTGCAGCGCTCATCCATGTAGAATGTGCTGTTCATGATCCACCCATGCTAACATCAAGCCGTCAACTCTCCTTTGGCCTGTTACTGAAAGAAACCACATTGACATTGGAATTTATTAAAACCGTCCTGTTCCAGGACCTGCAACCATGTTTAGTGCTTGGCTGTACACTCCTGAGGCCCTTTCTCTGATCCTGGCATGTTTTTAGTGATATTTTCCCAAGCACAGCTTCCCCTTCCAAACCCTCTAAAAACCCTAAATCATCTTCACTTAAGAGGAGGGTGACTCTTTTCTTCTTTTCTTCAGGATTTATTTGAAAGGCAGAGGTACACAGAGAGAGGAAGAAGTGGAGAAGGAGATCTTCTGTTCACTGGTTCACTACCCAAATTATCATAACAGCTGGAGGTAGGCCAAACTGAAACCCAGAATTATATCCTTGTCTCTCCCAGGATGCAAGTGTCCAAGAACTTGGACTGTCTTCTGCTGCTTTCCCAAGCATATTAACAGGGCACATCTTCACGAGAGGGGCAGCTTGGACTTAAACTAGTGCTCATGTGGGATGTAGGTATAGCAATCAGAAGCTTAACGCACTGTGCTACAACACTGGTCAGTGATAGTCCTTCAAGCAACAGTCTGCTGCCTCCTCATTGTATTGATAACTTATTACTTTCTCTTTCCTTCATCTCAAAATGTGGTCTTCGTTACTCTAATTGGGCACTGTTGACTAGGACCAAACTTCCCATAACACACTGGACTGGGTGTGCACATCTCAGGCAGCATGCCTCATTGTTCAGATCCTGACCTCAAGACCATATTGGGTGACTTTAAAAAAAAGGTTTATTTATTTTTATTGAAAAGTCAGATATACAGACAGGAGGAGAGTCAGAAAGTAAGATCTTCCATCCGATGATTCACTCCCCAAGTGACCACAATGGCCGGTGTTGCGCCAGTCTGAAGCCAGGAACCAGGAACCTCTTCCAGGTCTCCCATGCGGGTGCAGGGTCCCAAGGCTTTGGGCCATCCTTGACTGCTTTTCTAGGCTACAAGCAGAGAGCTGGATGGGAAGTGGGGCCACTGGGATTAGAACCGGCACCCATATGGGATCCCAGTGCATTCAAAGCGAGGGCCTTCACCATTAGACCACTGTGCCAGGCCTGTTGGGTGACTTTTATAAGACAAATTCTTAGAACATGCCTTAGGTATAATCATTGAAATTCCTGTGGGTTCTGTCAGTGTTTCTCAGAGTAATCCTTACAGCCTGGCTAAAGTGCAATGAAAAAAATCGTATTTGGGAAAGAATTTGGCGCTGACAAAGACATGGGCAATGGAAGCCAACACTGGGAACTAGAGAGAACACGCCCCAAGGCAAAACAAGCTGAGAGTCTTAAGATGTTCTAAAACGGGTATCATGCATGCAACATGGATGTCTTGATGAAAGTCGTGAGAATAATAGGATATCTTCCTCCTGAAACCAGAGACCTCGAGAACCGAATGATTCAGATAAGGTTCCGGAAGCAAGAGACTCATGTCCAACACATTTGTGGAATACCAGGAAGAGTCCTTGGCTTCTGGCTTCCTCCTGGCGCAGACATGATTGTTTCTGCATATTTAGGGAATGAACTAGTAAATGGAAGATCTTTCTCCCTTTTGTATCTCCTGATCTCTCTGCTGATCTCTCTCTCTTTCTCTCTCTCATTCTGTGTTTCAAATAAATCTGCACCCTGATATTGGATGCTGGTATTGTAGGTAGCAGCTTAATCCACTGCACCACAATGCTGGCCTCTAGTCCCCCAGGGACACAGGCTGCCTCAACAGTACCATATGAATAAGTTTGGGGAGGATGCACTTCCCCAAGGGGTGACCATGTAATTCCACGTTTCATCCATCATGCAATCCTCAACAGTTAAGCATAATTAAACAAATAATTATTTTATAAGCCCAGAAAGTTTTCATTTAAAGATGTTAACGGAAAATAGCAAAGCCTTATTAAAAGTAAAGAAGTGTACCCCCAAAATGACAATGACTGGAGGACTTTCCAGCAAGGAGCAGGAAGGGGGACCAGAGATGGTGAAAGATAGCTCTCCCTGGACAGATCTAGGTCAACAAAATATTGACTTTTAGAAATTACAGTCTAGTGAACAAGAGTCTATGAAATCATATGAGTAAATAATGAGAGAGAATATAAAGTTTTTTATAAGGAAAAATTAATGTAAAATTAATGTAGAAGAAATGATGAAATAATAAGATAATCCTTGGGTAGTCACCATAGTAATAATCATGTTAGGCAGGAATTATTCTTGGCTATTAAAGCAAATGGGAGGAAATATAAAGAGACATAGGACATTTCCATAGCTTCAAAATGTCTCCCAGTGGATTACTGTCCCAATGGTTTTTACTGCACTAAAATACGCATAACATAGATATTACCCTCTTAATCATCTTAAATGTACAATTCAAGGTTATTGAATCCATTCACTTTGTTGTGTAATTGTTGCCACTATCCATTTTCATAAATCTGTTCATCTTGTGAAACTGAAACTCTATGCCTATTAGACACTAACTCACCACATCGTGGCCATTATCTTGCAATGTTCTGTCTCTCGTTTTAACTGCAGTGGGTACCTCATCGAAACAAAATCAAAGAGTATTTACCTTTTTGCAACTGGCTTATTCCACTTAACCAAAGATCGGCAATGTTTATCCACATTATAGCCTGTGTCAGAATTCCTTTCCTTTTTATTTATTTTTTTTATATTAATCATTATATTTAATTTTCACCATTTCGATTGAAGTATGTAATGTTTTCTTACTGTTTTTTTTT